TGTTGAGGAAATCTCTTTTCAATCCCTTATTTAAAGAATGAGAATTAGGAGATTCTTTCGTGAACTGCACCCTGAATAAAAATAAGGATACAAAAAGATCGGCTAACTACATCTTTCAAACAAGGGATAAAAAAGGAAAACCAAAAACTATATATGGCAGAAGTGCGAGTTACAAATCTTTGGGGAGGCTAACAGAAATAGAGTTTTATGTTCTCTCAATTCTTAATCATGGATCGAGAATTTTAACAATATTTTATGAGTAAATATTATATACACTGACGATATATATACTATCATAGTTGGATGCACGACATATATACAAAATTTAGGTTTTAAATTTAAATTTATATTATGTGTCATATATCTAATGGTGAAAGTGTATACACTGTAAGTGTATAGAACATTAATCCATATTTTATAAGGTTGTAAAACAAGCAAGCAAAACAAGTCTGCGTGCTATAATTTACACATGGAAACATACCCTTGTTGTTAATAATCTCCAAAATCATGACCATCATTTCCAATCAATCTAGAATTTTCATTCACTTGATTTGAGGAATCTTAATCGTAATTTGACAATAAAAAATGTAAAATAAAATACAGTACTTGAACGCATTTTTCGTGCTTTACAAAAATTAAAAGAGAAAAGCTTCTAAAATAGGACATGCTTTTGAAAAACCGTAAATTACTGCCTCGGCCTATTCCAGAATGTTGAAAACAATTAAGGCTACACCTTTGGTAACCAAATGCAAAGAAGTCCAAAACATGTTCAGAGTTTGAAAAAAAAAAAAATTTTCTTGGGTTTAACTAGTGATCAAAAGGAGACGAACTTGCCGCAGTTTGCAAATTCACCCCAAGGACTCAAATGGGTTTCTTGGGTTTAACCAGTGTCTAACTTATGCTTCCCTTGTAACTGATGTTCAATTTTATGTAACAACTTATACAGGTTTATTGCATCCCCTTTTTTTGAGAATAACATTTCTTGCATTCCGGGTTTCATAACCATCTTAAACTCTTAATCCACCTACCTAGCTAGACGTAATTTATTGAGCATTGGAGATGATGCAATGTATGTATTTTCATGCATGGGTATGGGTAGAAGCAGGCATTACAAATGAATTAGAACATTCAATCAGAAGGTCGAATCTTACTCTTTAAAGTTTCCCTCACCCTTTTTAAACTACATAAATCATGCACAAATATTGAACTAAATGACTAAAATAACTGCGATTACCAAATAAATATAAAATCATCAATTCATTCAATAGGCCATGATGATCCAATCTTTCTAATAATGGATGTTGATGCAGTTCAATTTAATGGGGTTTTGAGTACCCATACCAACTGTCATAGGTTATCTAGTCCTCAAGAAGGACCGTAAGAATAAGCATAGCTTATCCTATTCATCTCTATTTAAAAATCACTATAAAAATTTTTGTCAAGATGCCTTGACCAAAAATTTTTTGTTTTCACCTTTTTGCTGGTTTGTAAAAATTGAAAATGTCAAATGTGTTTCTTTTTTATTTTTCTGTACCGATTCAAATTTTGACTCATACTTACAGCAAAAGTTACAAGCACCATTCTCATTGATCTGAACTAAAATAAGCCCAGCTAGTAATTTTGTTTGTTTTTCCTATTTGCCTCTTTTTTTTTTGTGTATAATTTCTGGCTGGCCCGTTTCCTGAATCAGCAGCAACATATGTAACTTGAGTTGGAATCCGTCAATGCTATAATAATATTGAACTCAGCATAGGTACATACTAGATTCAATTCCATGCCAATTTTGACATTTTCTTTGTCAAACTTTTTATTTTGGTTGACATTTATCAGATTATATAATGCCCTATTCAAACTAATGTTCATGCAACACAACTTTCCTGATCTCTCTCTCTCTTTCTCAACCAAAACACAAAATGGATATCCTTCCTTTGGGATGCTTTGATGGATTAGAGAGGTATTTGTGGAAAAAGAGATATCAAAGACTGGAAGATGCAATTAAAATGAAGAGGAAGCTGAAAATTGCTCGTCTGGGGAGCCAAAGAAGTAAAAAAAAAAAAAAAAAAAGAATTTGAAATCAAGAACGTTCACAATTCGGTTTCCAACATCAGAGCACCATTGAAGTTGGTAGTAAAGTTTCATGAAGCATAGATTGGTCCAATGACACGTTTGGCAGGCACCAAGAGGTTTCCCCATGTTAAGAATGGAGAACAAAAGAGTTGCAAATTAAATACCAACCAATTCGTATTCAAATTTTGCCAATTCTTTGTCACCAATTACTGCATCAAAGGTCGGTCATATCTAATAAACTGACAATTGATATTTGATCGCTTCATTTTATTCTTTTTTTTTTTTTTTGTAAAGTTGGCCTTGTTGAAATCTGCTTACTACATGTGTGTTTACGTTGTATTGTACACAATTTTATTAACCTTCTTTATCATCGAAACAAGAACTAAAAAAAAAAAAAGAGAACGCCCTAACAAGTATAAAGATTAGGGATGATCAGCCTCCCAAGAAATCCAGCAATTCACAAGATTTTTATCACAAAATATCAACTTCAAGGGAATCAAGCCATTCGCATAATATAACTCCAAGGATCGCTGATCAACTTTAAGAAAATATATAATCCATAACCCAAATATTCATAGTCAAAAGGCTTTGCCAACACGATATAATTCCATGACTTATGAGGAGACAAAGAACAAAAGTAAAACAACTATTAAACCTTAATATTAATCCTTCCCTAATAAACCAAGTAACATAGTGATAATTAAGAATAGATAATTCTCACCCAATACTAGACTGTTAAAGCAACTAATCTGACCAAAGTACTTATCAAGCCATGTTGTCCGAGTTTAGGTGTTTACATATCTACTTTGTGAACCATAGCTGTTGTTGTAACCAGTAGGAAAACGGCCATAACTGGTGTTGGAACCCGCAGGAAAACGGTGTGTGATTGTGGACTTCATTCTAAGCTCTTTCTCAACACGAATGGTCTCCATAGGCTGCTGCACTCCAAAACACGTCAAACAACCATTGTCCCCGTTCCCTTCACCTGTCTTCTTGCAAAACAAGTTACCCATGGTTGAGTCAAATCAGCAAGAAAGCAAAGGTGTTGCAGAGAAGGCAAAGGTGAATCTCAATGCTTTGATGCCCTTATTTAAAGTGTAAGTTAGGGTAGTTTACGGGTAGCACCACAAGTTATGGAAATAATATTGCCATATAAAAGCTATCAATTGCACAAGGAACGAAAAAGAAAGAAATTAGGCACTGATGGATGATTAGTACACTTAAATTTGGTGATTACCATTTACACATTTCAAATTTACATTTATTGTGCTTGTTACATTTAGATGCTTTCTTGATTTAACGTAATCTTTTCAAAAAGGTAACAATTAAGTCCCAATATGTGCCTATAGGTTACCTGTTTAACAAACCTAAGAAAAGAAAATAAAAACCTAAGTGGAAGAAGAGAGGAAGGGCTCTTGTATGCTCTCAAGAGAAAAGATTGTCAGTAAAGCTACTCAAATAATAAAGGAAAAACCTTAATGATTTTTTTTAACCTTAGTGAGTTTGGCTTTGTTTTAGTTGGTTAGAGGATTCTATTCAATAATGCGTTGATTTAGAGTCAAATGTATCTCTCCCAGTACCAAAAAAATAACCTAATAAGATATTTTTGAGATGATACCGCAATTAATTGAAACCCCATATAAAAAAAAGGGTTTTCTTCATAGTTTTTTTTTTTATAACCAACATCTTTGTTAATATACCTAAATTCTATCTAACCTACCATATATATGTGCACATTAACAATTATTACTCTTCCTTACAATTTTACACTTTTCCTAATTAACCTTTTCTTTCTAAGATTCTTACACATTAACAATTATTACTCTTCTTTACATTCATACACTCTTCCTAATTAACCTTCCCTTTATGAAGATCTAACTAAAAATAATTTGATTCATACAAGAAAGACAAATATTTGATAGTTTTGATTGATTATTTTGAGGTCATATGGTCAAAATTTCTCGATGCCAACAAATTTGCCTAGGTAATGTAGTAATTTCACAATAATTTAACCGAATGCAAAATGCAAATTTTTTGTGTGTAAATGTAAGATTTTCCATTACGAGATGGGTTGATATGCATTTTCAGTAGGCTAACAACGTCAGCATTTGCCGTTACCATGATATACCTGCATATGCTATTCCATTGAAAATCAATGCGGGAGAATAGGCGCCCATATCTTGAATGCCCAATTTCAGCCAATAGCTCCTCATTCCGCGATTCGGCAGTATAGGAGATCCATATAATTTGTTTTTTCCCTTTCATTTCCCTTTCCTTTGCTGAATAATCCATATTTATTAATGGGATTTGTGAATCATTTTTGAATTATCTATTATTAATTCTTCAAATCATCTAGTAGCCTAGTTTAAGGCCTTTAGGCACATTAATAATTAACCCTTGGTCTCAAACACTAATATTGCTTATATTTTCTCTTCTTCTTGAACCTTTCTTGACCGAGCAAATTCGAAAATCCCTCTCAATTTACTGCATATCACATGCACCAAGTCACACATTTGCCTTAACTAGCCAGATGAATATTCTCAATCAGAAAAGTATTCAACAGAATCCCAATCAAAATCTAGTACTTTCTTGATACTTTCATGTGGGCTTCAAGAACTTCGTCCCATGCTGTCAATTTTTAGGCAGCTGTCACATCATGCAAATGTAATCACCCAAGCCTTTCTACGCATATAATTGTCTCATTTCCCCTCTTGCGTGCACGAATCATTGCATGCTTATTAAATAAGCAAAAATCTCAACTTCCTAAAACCAGTAGACCATACTAATTAAGCAAACTCTCAATTTATAGCTTTTGCCACAACTCTTCAATCCTCACCCTTCTTCAACCCTCCTTTAGTTTTCTTCTCAGACACCATAAAAGAGTAAAAGTAACCAACAAATCAGATTAGGTTGCTACGCTTTAGAGTCTTAGATATCCGGAAGTATAACAGAAGTGGCATCTGCCATAGGATAGCTGAAGAGGGCTTGTGTTGACACTTGGGATTTATTTGCAGAATGGAATTTGCTGATGAATCAAGATTGCATAATGGCAATCAAGCAGCTGGTCTCTATTATCCGCTTGGTGAATTTGACGCTGAAAACGTTGGTATTGATCGTGTTTCTGAGGATTCAACGCGGTTGAAGCAGCTGGGATACAAGCAAGAGCTCGGCCGTGGCCTTTCGTAAGTAGCATATATTTCTGCTTCAAAGTTCTTGAAATCCATCTTAATTTACTTCATCACTGCAACATTGCATGACAATCTAGCAAGTGGAATCTAAAGGTTTACTTGGTTATTTGTGATAAAGAAGGGAAGCACCTTGGATGGTTCAGATAAACAAGACACGTTGGTCCACTAAAACTTGTTTATTTCAAAGGACATATGGTATCTATTTTGAACATTTGTTGAAAAAGAAAAGGCAACCCTTCAAGTTTTGTTTATGCTATTGTCTTCCTATTCATTAATTCTTTCATTAAATCAGTAATCTATGATTTGACTCCACTTCAGAGGGGCAGGGAGTAATCTTTTGTTAGATATTTTTATTGTACTATTTAGTATCAAATGGACCAAAAACAATTACATTTCCTTGTTTTTTGAGAGAAAGAATTTGATTCTTTGTATAATTTTATTTGCTTACATCATATACATACTTTCAACTATCATTTTAGCTCACATACATCACGTTAAAAAAGTATTACAGCTGAGTTTGTTTGGACAACAAGAATTTGGCCAAAAAATTTCAGATTTTGTTTTGCTTGCATCATACACACAATTTCCAATCACCTTTTTATCTCACATACATCACATCACAAAAAGTGCTACAGTAACTGGATCAAATAAATCATCCAAATAAATTCTTATCCAAACAAACTCACTAGTATTTTTTTTCAAAAAATTATCCCTAATAATATCCTATCCAAACACACTTACAGCATTCTTGGAGTTGGAGGGACATTTTAGGAGGGCACTGATCGCATGTAATTATTCAGTGTACTTGATGAGTGTTTATTTTAAATATTACGGTTCATATGATTTTTTACATTAATGACATTTTTCTACTTCAAAAGAAAAGAAAATAAACGCCAGTTCTAACTACTTGGTTTAGTAAAATTTATGAAGATAAATGACTTGTAAATTTTCGTTTTCATTATTGTGTTTTTGGTGTATGAAGGTTCCTGGCCAATTTTTCGGTCACTTTTTCAATATTATCAGTCATGACGGGAATAACAACGCTGTACAATCAGGGCCTGTCGTTTGGTGGGCCCATTGCTATGGTTTACGGGTGGCCTATCGTTAGTTTAATGACGATGATTGTGGGCCTCTCGATGGCTGAGATCTGCTCTGCTTACCCGACTTCTGCTGGGCTATATTTTTGGAGTGCTATACTCTGTGGTAACGGATGGAGCCCATTCGCATCTTGGCTCACTGGCTGGTACGTAATCAAACTACCATCAGTATTGTTTGTCTTCTTATTTTTGTGCTTCCGCAAAATCATATTACCTCAAATATTTTTTGGCATTTTCATGGTGTGGAGATTGTTGAAACCTTTGTCCTTAGTTGATAATCTGCATTGTGTATCAACGAGTATATCTGCTGCTATTGGGCCCATATTCGAATTGATTTTCATGTACCTCGGGCCCTAGGTAAAGTTCACCTAAAAGTTCGAATCCAAGTGTTGAAAGCAATGGCTATTTTATTAGCAGTGGCAAACAAGCTCATAAACAGAACCTATTTTCTTATAACAAATTACATTTTGTATCACTCGAACTCGAGCAAGTGACTTTTCGAACTTGATCTCAGACACTTCATACTTCTCACTAGTCATGCTCGAGTTTTGAAATTGAAGGTTTGTCAAACTTAAACTTGAGCTCAAGCTCAAACAAATATACTTCAAGATCGAGTTCGAATAGACTAGTGTTCAAACTCACATCCGCTCATTGCCCCCCTAAGCCTCAATTGAAAGAGAACTTTGGCTGTTAACAAGAAATTAATTCTCTCCAAATTTATTTCCACAAAGAATTCAACTTTTTTAGGACTATGGCTAGATAGAGATGTCAATAAGTCTAATAAAGTAGAATACTCCATTGTTCAAATTCTCTCTGTTTATTTTAACAATTTCGAAATTGTATTTTAATTTGAGTTGTTTATTTATCGAGCCAAACTCTTGACAAGCTTTTACCAAGCCGATCTCGCATTGAGCTCAATTAGTTTTGACTTTTTAAACTTAACTTTCAAGTCTCAATCTTTAAGCTGATTGAGCTAAGTTCATAGTCTACTTTCAAACTTTATCGAACACGAAATACTGTTCGTGTTTAGTTTGATCAGTTGAAAAATAAAGTTCAAACTAGTTTTAACAATAAAGTTCAAACTAGTTTTAACAGGACCAAGTTCGTTTCAAATATCAAGTAATTTGATCCATTTTTTCGTCCTTGTCTAGATAAAATATTTAGAGAAAGAAATTCAACTTCATAAACTGTTTGAGCAAGATCGCTTTCCGAATTGAAGTGGATTGAATTCTGACAATTTTTCTACCCAAAATAAATGATATTTTGTCCACATTACTTGACCCATAACAAGCCCCATTAATAAGACAAAATAAGAATGAAGAAAAAAAAAAAAAAGAGCTGATGTATAACTTGAAATAATCAGCTAGCTAATCGTTTAGTTACGCCATCACCAATTAATTCAAGTAAAACTGCGTTTGTAGACTTTAGATGCAATAATACCAATTAGAAGGATTGTTTTCTTGTACAATGGACAATTCTCCAATCATTTTTCGGTTCAAATTAGTCGGTGCTGTTTTCGCAATATTTCAGTCTGTTTACGGACCATAATGATTAGCAACAACATTGGATATGATGGGTTGCCTTGGTCCGATTGCGATTTGAGATCATGGCACTAATATTATCTTGCACTTTTATAAGAATAAAAAAAAATAGTGAATCTATATTTGCTTTTCAGCTTAGTCAAAATATTGAAACACCTTGCTCCAAAAGAATGGAATTTAATCCAAAAAACTAATTAACAAAAAAAAAAAAAGAAATTGTACGTATCGACATGCATGATGTTAGGTTCTTAACGTTTCTTTAAGAAAAAAATGAAAGGTAGAAAACATATTTAGGATTTAACCCTTTCCATTTTATTTTCATGACTAACAACATAAAGATAATTTTATATGTATGAAATTTGAAATGAATTTGGGCAAAAAAATACTTGCACGTTTGCTCATTCTATGTTATTATTTTTTTTGGGAATATTTTCTGGAGTACCTAGTTTATTGCAACAAATGACAAATTTGAAATACTATTTGAAATAATTATTGTAACACTTTTCGTGATGTGATATATGCAAAATAAAAGATAATTGAAAAAATCAAAATGTGTATTAAAAAATATATTTGTGACGTAAGCAAATAATTTCTTAAAAATTAACAATAAATTAATCATTTATACAATAACAGTATATACACAATCACTATGAATATATTGACAACTCATTTGAATTTAAGATTTACTCAATAGTAATACCTATCCAAACACAATCAAGCCATTTACTGGATTTCTTGGAGGCCACATTTTCGCACGTGAGATGCAGTAGCCGCATTCTTTGGTTCTTCATCTTTTCCCATTTGAATATTAGATTCTCAGTTGATTTGTTCACATGCAAAAATTGTAATGCAAATCACTCTGCTGCCCAGTTCCGGCCATAAAACCTAAACGGCTCTCAAGTCTTCGACAATTTTAACTTTGCTTTGAACATTGAAAAGAAGAGAATCGACTAACAACGACTATAGCCACTGGCCATTTGGTCCAGTGGTCATCACCATAATGGTGATGCTGGAGGTCAGGGGATCAACCCCTGTCTCCCACAATTTGGCTACAATATGTGGTTGGTCTTAGTTGTCGGAAAAAAAAAGACTAACAACAACTATACCAACTATCTGTAGAGTAGTTGGCCATTGGAAGCGGTTTAAAGCTTTTATTGGATGTAGATCAAGAGATCAAATTTCTTGACTTGGAAGCGGTTTAAAGCTTTTATTGGATGTAGATCAAGAGATCAAATTTCTTGACTTGCATTCTTCTGCAGGATTTTCCGAAAAAATTTATCAGCGGGTGCAATGACATCCTTCTGATTCGATAGCGGTTTAGTCTCCTCTGAATTTTTCATCGATTCTTTTGAATCCATTCCTTTCCCTTGTTGTAACATAGGAGTATGTCTAAATTAAAAGTTATCATGTCGAAAAAAAAAAAAAAAAAAAAAAAGACTAACAATACTATGATATGAACTCTATTTGTTCCTTGCTTCTTTTGTCACATAAATTTAGCATTCAGGATGAGCTACACAAATTTGTCTTTTCTCCTCCTTTTGTTCTTCTCGCTATTTGTTTTGTTTTCTTCTTCTCAAAATGACTACACGGTGTTCACATGTTTCTTCTTGACTCGTTTCTTTTGTATTTAATTTAAGATTTTAGTTTAGATCTTATGAAGTAAAATGAGGTGAGAAAACCTTTTTTTCCCCTGAAAATCTTATCATGTCAGGAAGAAAAATATGTCGTCGGTACCCGTTGTCATTCATATAAGAGATATGGTATAATCTCATCAACATTTCAAGCTTTTAAAATTCAAATTGTTTAGAATAATTAAGTCAACAATTGCAAGAGAAATGATAACTAACTTCAATTGTAGTTTTTTTGGACAAAAAAAATTATTACGTTCTTCGTAAATATATTTTTAATCACTTTTTTATATGATATGAATAAAATTTTTATAAATAAAATTAAATTTGCTGTAACCCAATAAAATATCTATTGTCCTTACATATCCCTTCCCCCCCCCCCCCCCCCCGGCCCTCCTTCGCATCCCGGGACCGCACCCCCAAATTAGTCACTATCAAATTGCAATGTACAAATCGATCAATTGTCCTTAGGATGGCCTAAGAGATGGTACGATTACGTAATCTTTGGTAGGCTGAGCAAAAGCCAATTTTTTAAAGTGCCCATCTCAATAAGAGATTCCTTTATTTCTCTTTCCCATAAATCTGAAAAAAAAATATCACAAAATCAAGAAAATAAATTAATAAAGAAAAGGCAACCCACCTAACCACAGTTCTCTCTTTGACTTTCCCACAGCTTTGGTTGACCATCACATTTGCTTCCTCCACCAAAATAATTACCCCCAACAGACTCATTAAAGATTCCGAAACGTGTCCGCAGAGGAAAAAGCACGGTAATATTCCTCTCACGGAATCTATATTAAATCCATCATCATTTCCATGAACAAACAGTAGCTGGAAGTTCTCAAGAAAACTCTCAGCTACTCAGACAGAAAGAGAGAGATAAAAGGGTGTGTATTGATAACTAAACCACAATTCAAGGTTTCATATCTTGAATAAGAGTACACACCTCCCTCATCTCTCTCTTTGATCACTTGAATTTCAAAAAAATGGCGTGGAATCGTGAAGAGAAGAGCGAAGTGCTTCCACAACGTGTTCAACAAAGCAATGGCACATCATCCATTGATTCAGGCCATGAACGCTTGCATGAGCTAGGATACAAGCAAGAACTCAAGCGAGACCTCTCGTAATTATTCAATCCATAACTCATTCGGAATATTGTTTTTTATCTGATTTCTGATGTGGGTATTTGATATTTTTTGTTTTGGTTCTTGTGTTTTTTTTTTTTTGGGATTTTTTGGTGCAGGGTTTTTTCGAATTTTGCATTTTCATTTTCAATTATATCAGTGTTGACTGGTGTGACTACACTGTATAATACGGGGTTGAATTTTGGTGGGCCTGTTTCTTTGGTGTATGGATGGATAATTGCTGGTTGTTTTACTATGGTTGTGGGATTATCCATGGCTGAGATATGTTCTTCTTATCCTACTTCTGGAGGACTCTATTATTGGAGTGCTAAGCTTGCTGGCCCTAGTTGGGCACCCTTTGCATCCTGGATCACTGGCTGGTAATTGAAAATCTTGCTTGTTTGAATAATTAATGACATTTAATTGAGGGTATTCTTCTCTGTTTCAATTGCTAGGGGTCTACTAGTGGCTGTCATTTATTTCAATTTGCAATTCAGGGAGCCCAACCTATTTATAACAGTTGGTATTTTTTTTAAATTTTTTTGAGGTCAGCGCCAATTAGTTGCCTATGTTTCGTTGGTCTTGTATTGTTCTTTGAAAGTTAGACGTTAGAATTTATCTTCCATAAGATTAGCAATTTTAGGAACAGATGAAATTGTTGGGATATGCAACTTTTTCTACATATTTTGCTAGATTATGTTTAATATCAAAATAGTTTAGTTATTAGAAAAATAAGGATATTTGTTAACAAAAGATCATGTTGGTTTGTTAACAGATATTTTTGATAAGATTTGCTAGTAGAAGGAGATTATATTTTGTTGAGATTTCTAGGATAATTGTTAGTGGGATATTTTGCTAGTTTGTTTCATGTAATCACTATAAATAGTGAGTTGATGAATGTAGAACAAGATGCTCATTTTCCACCTTCAATACAAGTCTCTTATAAGCTTTTTTTGCAACACTAAGGTGTTGTTTCTTAGTTCATGCCCCAAAAAACCAACAAAGTGGTATCAAGAGCCTATATCTTAAGGGCCTGAGTTTTTTTTGAGAGTGATGCATTGGTGAGGATCCATTATAAGTTCAAGCCATGACAGGAAAGAACTTTTTGTCAAATGTTTCAACTTTTAGGGGTGAAATTTACCAAATTTGGGCCATAAAATTTTGGACTTATTTGGTAGTCAATGATCTACGAGATATGGTAGAGACGATTTTTGTTTCATCAGTATTTGAAGAGCTGATGAATACACAAATTAGAGACCACAGAGTTGCAGTTATACAGAGATCCAAGGCCAGCATTCACATATCAGTTTTTGATGCCGTTTTCACAAAGATAATGGCTGATGATTTGATTGAGAATAAATTATTCTCAATTAAAATAGAAAGGAGAAGTTTCACTATGAATTGGTCAGATTTTGACAATTCTAAAGTGGAACATGATGATGAAATCAAGAATTCAGATCCTGAAAAATTCAGGAGGAGATCATTGATAAGTCAGGAGATATCAGATTGATTCCTGATATTTATCAAGATTATAACATTTCTGTTTTTGGTCTACAGATTTTGATGGTGATGGCAAAATGAAGAACCATGCAGAATTTCATATTTTCTGTATAGGTTCAAATGTCGTCAAAGGATGTTCCACTTTAAACCTATGAGAAGGTTATTTGGAAACATTAAAAAAAAATCATCTTTTATGTGGAGTTTGGCATGAGAAGACAAAAGAAGAAGTTCATTGCAAAGCTAATCATCAATTGCAGAGCTTCTTACAAAAGTCTCATCCAAAACAAGATTCAAAGATTTGAGAAGACAATTCAAAATCTGCAGCAAAAGTGGCAATGAGGAGTGTTGGGATATGCAACTTTTTCTACATATTTTGCTAGATTATGTTTAATATCAAAATAGTTTAGTTATTAGAAAAATAAGGATATTTATTAACAAAAGATCATGTTGGTTTGTTAACAGATATTTTTGATAAGATTTGCTAGTAGAAGGAGATTATATTTTGTTGAGATTTCTAGGATAATTGTTAGTGGGATATTTTGCTAGTTTGTTTCATGTAATCACTATAAATAGTGAGTTGATGAATGTAGAACAAGATGCTCATTTTCCACCTTCAATACAAGTCTCTTATAAGCTTTTTTTGCAACACTAAGGTGTTGTTTCTTAGTTCATGCCCCAAAAAACCAACAAATTTGGACCTAGACATTGTTCCCATGTAAGGTGTTAGTTCTATAAGTGTTTCGGCTTCGTATTCTGATTAGTTTTGCTTTCAGCTGAAAGCCTGAATGAGCTTGTTTTTCTCATTTAAGCTCACCTTTTGCTTTAGTTCAATTATTGGTCTTCATTTCTTCTGTAACTGAAGTAAATTTTACTTAAATACATGATGCTGTCCTACCTTTGCAAAAAGTACTATTATAAGAAATTTCATGAATTACTGACTTTTGTGGAAGTTTGGTGTTTTGCCATAAATGGATGAGATTCTGGTGATGTGTAGTTAACTTATGTAGTTCTGAGAAGCCTATTATATTGGTCATTTAGTTTTTGCTCGAATGAATCAAGACGAAGTTCTTGTACTCCATTTTCTCTGAGTTCTTGGGTAGTGGCATAATGGACCATCTTCATCTGGATCACCCTCTTACCATGTAGAGTTTGGTTTCTATAGGTAGCAATCTGTTTGATAAACTATCGCCAGCTATGTCTTGCTATAAATCCATTGGTAGAGGCTGAGTACTTATTTTTTGTTTTTCTTGTTTTGGCTTTACAGGTTCAACATTGTTGGTCAGGTATTTAAACTTTTAGTCTGCAGTTCAAGATTCTTCACTCTATTTCTGTCAATCCTCTTCATGCTTGGTGACACCACAATTATGTTTAACTGGTAAAGAAATTTCTCTTTGCAGTGGGCAGTTACAACAAGCGTGGATTTTTCACTTGCACAGCTGATTCGGGTGATCATCCTTCTGAGTACTGGTGGAACCTCTGGAGGTGGATATGAGGCCTCTAAGTATGTAGTTATTGCCATCCATGCTGCAATTTTGCTCTCACATGCTGTCTTAAACAGTCTTCCTATCTCGTGGTTATCATTCTTTGGACAGCTTGCTGCTGCATGGAATGTACTAGGTAGACTGACGACAAAACTGTTCTATAAGTCGGTTTCAATTCTCACCCGATTGTCTTACAAGATACTCTTTTGGCTTCTCACCTGATTGTCTTACAAGATACTCTTTTGGTTTCAGGAGTCTTTATACTCATGATTGTGATTCCTACAGTTGCAACTGAAAGAGCCAGTGCTAAGTTTGTGTTTACTCATTTCAACACTGAAAATGGGGCTGGCGTCAACAGTAAATTGTACATATTTATACTCGGGCTTCTTATGAGCCAGTATACGCTGACTGGATATGATGCATCTGCCCACATGGTAAGTTTCATCTCTAATTTATTGCGCTTATTCATTTTTTGTGTTGGGACTTTGATGACGCAAATACAATAGAAATTACATCTATCTCTATGTATTGCCCTTATCCTTTCTGGAGTTTGATTATGCTATCACATTCTT